ATCCCATACAAAAGGAGGCAATTCTGAGAGTAGGACTGTTTTCATTAAAAGAAAGGAAACCCCGTTAGGATCCTTCTGTCCCTGACTGCAAAGGAGCCATTTCCCGGTATCATATCCTAGAGGATGCATCCCCCTGGTGCAGACTGAGGAGCAGATGGGAGCCCACCACCTGGGAATGACTGCAGAGGCCTGCAACCTTATCCACTGGGACTCATCCCATAGCTGCCTCACTCAGCCCCTGGAAAGACCATAAAGCCACCAAAGCTCTCCAGTTGGTATTTTTCCTCTTGTCTGCCAGCTGCCTACGTTAGATGAATCACCTTGCCACTATGCTGAGTTACCTCGGCCTCTGTGGCCAAGAAAATGCCTCTCCACTGATGCCCAGCCTACTGTTAACTGTTTGTACTCAACCACCAGCAATGACACAGCAATGCCCAGTGAGCTAGAACATCAGCCTGACACATTTAAAACACACCAACCAACGCTGGGCCTCTTTTACTATGTAAATTCAGGACTCACAGGACAGTCAAGAGAAGATCAGGTGAACATAAATCCTCAGCCATAATAAGAGACACCATGGCTTTATCTTGCACTTGGGAACAGAGGCCCTAAATGTATCTGGGGGAGGGGCGGGTCTTTACCAGTCTTAGCCTGATGCTGGGATGATGGGAACACGTGGGAAGCAATAGGATTTGGAGTCAAATCCTAGGTTCCCCTCTTACAAGCTTCGTGACCCTGGGTGGCCACTTACTCACAAGGCCTGGAAACAATGACAGAAAGCATGCACAGCACAGGGCACAGCGCCCAGCACTTAGGGAAGCCTCAGGAAAGCCAGCCATTGTAAATGGTTTTGGAGGAAGGGGAGTGAAAAAAATCTCTCTGGATTTAAACAGACCAAAGCCAGTAAAATATCCACTATTTACATGAATTTTCCTTCAATTTACAAGTTAGAAACCTTCCTGCATAAGGTGAAACCGTATTTGGTTTCAAAAACAGAAACCTCTGTTTTATAGAGTAAGCCATCATTTTATCAGGTCTAAATGTATCCCTTCTCCTATTAGCCAGATCTGGAAACAAATCCAAGCATCCAAAAAGTTTGAAAAGAACTTTTCTATTAGGATCCCCTGAATCCATCAGTCTGAAAAATAACATCCTGAGCATGTATGGAAAAGGCGGCCTTATTAGAAAGGCTGGGAGCTCACAAATAATGTGTCCAGCATTTACTAAGTGTCAAATGAATGCATAAGAAGAAGGGAAGAAAACCATGGAAAGGATAGAATGTTTGATCTCAAAACTGCCTTTCTTATTTTCTGTCCCTGAAACAGCCCAGTTGCGCTTCCTCCTGGTCCCCCCTTCTCCTGTCCCAACCCACCACATTAACCTTCTAGAATAGTGTGTATGCTTCTCTGTCTGCTCCACAACCTTCTATGGCTCCTCACTTCAGGATCCATTCAATACCCTCAACCTATCTCTCCAAACTCAGCTCCTGCTATTCCCTTATGGGAACCAAAACCTGATCAAGCCACAGCAGTCCATTCACTGCTCCTTGAAACACTGTAAATATCCTACCTCCCAATCTTTGTTCACACCATCATTCTATCTAGGATTCCCTTCCCATTCCTTGGTTTGTCTAAATCTTACCCTTTCTTCAAAACTAGCCCCACAGTCTTCCTCGCTGTGATAGCCTTCCTCTAAGAACTCCCATGGTCACCGCTGCTGTGATGGCCTTTCCCTCATTAGCTACATAAGTCTCACACTTGGCATTTAGTATCTGCTGCTTTTTCTTGTTAGTTGTCCACTTCCGGGGGCATCTTCCATCTCTTCAAAGACAGCACTCAAGGACAGGGACTACTTCTGATCGTTGTGCAGCCTTACCGCATGCTACTTATGCACACAGTAGGTATCCATCCATGATTTTATGGGCACTGGTAGGTAGAACGCTGGGGAGTCAGGAGATCGAAGGCAACTAACTGGCTGTGTGAGCTGGCAAGATCGTGGGGGCCCTGAGGCTCAGACCTCTTGTGCACTGCACAAGAAGTCTGGGGAGAGGAACTTGGAGGTCCTTACCAGATCTAAGATTCTCTGAAACGGGTTGGCCATTTGCTAGTATTTCTGGAAAACTTCTTTCCCTAGCTTTCCCACCTAAGCCCTACCACGAAGACAAAGGAAAAAATGAGAGATGTTTGGGGGCGGGGGGGAGTGAAATTTAAAAAGGGAGCTTGTAAGAATGCAAGGTTTAAGTAAGAGCTGTAACCTTTTCCTTTTCAATTTAAAGAGAGCAAGATCCAAAAAGTATAAATTCCCCATGACTTCCCTTTTCAGAGCCCAAGAGCAGTCTGCTGGGCGTCTCGGGCTGATGCTATAAATCAGCTTGGAGCTTTCAGACAGGCAGCCTTTCCTGTTCTTTAGCAGATGTCCCTGTTAAGAAGGGGTCATAGGTTGGAGGGAGAGGAGAAGGGGTCTTAAGTTTGGAAGTTTCCCCTTTCTCTGACTCTGGCAGGAAGGCAGCAGGCACATGGCCCTAGAAGTTACAGTAAGTGGAATGAAATTAGGACCCAATTGTCTATACCCTTCCTTGGAGACTTTAAGAAGCAAAAAAATAAGTCTCAGATTAACCTCTACATTGAATGAGAATTAAATGCTTTCCTGCGAGGCAGGTACTTGGTCAACTCATTTCTCTACACTACACTTACAAATCCAGAAGAAGCAAAGGCCAGAAGAGGGGCCCTGGGCACTTGATCAGGGTTACTGAGACCAAGTCTTGATCAGGAGACATCACTTCAAGTCAGGATTTTTGTTTTGTTTTGCTGTTGTTTTAGCAATTCCTACATCAATTTAAACATGATGCATTGCTCCTCTGCTTACAACAGACACCTAAGCTTTACCTTCCCTCCCTACCTCAGAGAGGGGGCAGGAGGCAGAAAGGAAACACAAGAGGAAAACAGAATGAACAGGACAGAGGCTGGAGACTGCAGAAGCCTCTCTTCAGACATGCAGCTCAGACACAGGAAAGGATGGGGAATTAAAGAGAGTCTCAGACACTTGGTTATATGCAGCTGGTGAGAGCACCTCGATGTTAGAATTTGGAGAAGCCTCGAGGAATCGCCTGGGCAAACAGACTTTAGAGGCTGCCCTTAGAGAGGCTAGGACTTTCCTGGAGCTCCCTGGGGCTGGTGCAGGAGTCTGGCCCTGGATTCACAGCCTGATGCTCTTTCCAGTAAACCAAGTTCATTCCCTTAACCTCCTCCTGGGCTTACTTCAAGTTCTCAGCTCCGTCAAAGTATCTTTGACCTTGGCCATATCACAGAGAGCAGTTCTGTGCCTCCCGTGCTCAGATGAGAGGAGGGGGTCAAAAGAAACGGATTTACATGATCAGTGTTCTAACTATTAGGCCATCAGCTAAGCAGAGGGAGGCAACACTTTCTGTGTCACTGTGTCTGTTTTGGCTTTGGTGTAAAGGTCTGGGAATCTGTTTTCCCTGCCTGGTTATAGACAGATGACAGACTTTCCCCCCATTCCCTGCATACAGCACGAAAAGCATTAGCAAAACAAATTCATGGCCACTTCTGTTACCATGAATGCTCAGTAGATCCTGAAATGCCCTGTGGCGATGTGGCTGCTCAGCCAAGCTGGCAAGAACGTGTCACCAAGCAGCTTTTATACCAGTTAAAGAACTTAACAAAATGCAGACTTTCTCAAGAAGCTATGAGGGCTCAGGAGTCAAGGCTGGGCTTTCCATCTGGACTTCAGGTTTTCACGAGACTTCTTCTGTGAGCTTCTGTAGCTCCGGCTGGACGGGCGGCCACCCCTCTAGCGGGACGCTACCAGCACAGCACTGGAACATGCACATGGAACGGAACCTGAGCTCAGTGCGAAGGGGGCGTGGAGCCTCGGATTGCAAGTTCTTCACTCGCAGGAGCAACACGGCGGGACTGCCTTACTTGTCTGCAAAGAGCTTGTCAACAGGGAAACAGTGGCAAATGGAAAAGAAGCCAGTGATTCCCCTTTGACTCTGAAGAGGAGCTACCAGCTTGGAACTTTGTCTTTCTCAGATTTTTAATTTCAATCCTTTATACAGTTTTCTCACTTTAACTCAGCATCATCCAAGGCTTTTAGGTTTTATTTGCATTGTTCAATTAAGAAGGTGCCCAAAGCAAATCAAGTGGTGAAGAGCCTTCTAGGTGTCTATGTGCAGTTTCTCCGCTACCATTTTCAACCTGCGTACCACTGAGCTGTCACCGAGAGTACATCCCTTCAGAGGTTTCTACAGGCAGCCACAGCTATCATGTAAATGAAAGGCTGAGATTAGTGAATATAGGTTCTCTTCAAAACTGCCACAGCGAACTCGGGATCCTGTCCCATAATGTTTCCATGTGTGATCACTCTAAACTTTCTTTTTAATTAAAAAATGGAAACAAAATTCAAAAACCTTGGGATTACATGGAGTGTAGTTTGGGAAATGAGTTCTATTATCTACAGCGTGAGGACAGCGAGCTCGCCCCTGCTGCCTCCAGGGACTGCTGTACGGATAGATCAGACATAAGGGGAATTTCTTACCTTTGAAAACTGCAGAAAGCATTCACCTGGAGGGACTGTTATGTACGGTGAATGCTTCCTAGGTGTCTGTATTAGTTCTCAAAGGACAAGTCTGCACCACATCATTCACTTTCCATGACACTAACGCAGTGCCAGCCACCAAATTTCACAAAAGTGCTTGCTGAACTAATGATTCTTAGAGCCTCTGCTCTAAAAACACTTTGCCTATCATGGCAAATAGACTGTTATCCATAACCACTCTGGAATCTTCTACCTTGTATGCTTTATACAATACATCCTATCTCTGTCTTGGTGGCTTACTACAGGGAAGACTGCTCAGTCTTCCCTCATTTCCATAAGGCAAGAACTTTTCTTCCCTCCTCCAGCCGAACTTGTGGGTTTAACCTCTCACATTTCCTTTTTCACGAAGCACAATCCAGTCATCATTCAACCACACACAGTACCTGCTCCCTGCTCCGAGTGATCCTCTCAGACAGCAAATCCGAGTTATTTCTTTCTTCTTCCAGTTCCATCTCCAGCTGGGACACCTTGTCCTAAGAAAGAAGGAAGACACAAACACAGCCCTATGGAACTTGCACTGACCCGGGTTAAGTGCAAGGACTGCCCTGTGTAAAGAAAACCTCAAGGGCAGATCCAAGCAGGGGATGGTTAACGTTTGGGGGAAGGATGTGTCTACTTCTCATACGGCCAAAAACCTGTGTTTTATTGCTTTCATGATGTAAAATATAATTGTGCCTTTCTAAAATACATAAAAGGAGAAAAAAATTATTACCCCCAAACCCTAACATAAGCACTAGGGTTATTTTAACATGTTTCCTTCATGTCTTTCCCCCCCTCATGAATCAGTAACTTTACAGAGATCTACCTAAGCCTATAGTCTCCAAGTGACCTGTTAAAAGGGAATATGGGTGCTCAGATACCATCCAAGGCACATTTCTCTAAATATCCTAAGCCTTAGACAATGCTTTTCCTCTCTCCTTCTCAGGGTTTCTAAGAGCCTTGCAGGAGTCAAGTCTATGACATACTTTTGCACCTGCCTGTTTCTTCTAGGGAACCCCATGCACTTTGTACTGTGGAGTCCCAAATCTGCACGAGAGTAACAGACACAGTGGCAGCCCATTCTGCTTAAGCAGGCATTACAGAAGAATTGTCATTTCTGTCTTCCTTGCTGGCTCCTCACTTAACACCACGGAGTGCTAAGAGAAAAGCACTTCGAAGTAGCTGTGTGTATGAAAAAAGAGGCTTCTAACACAAACCACTCTGCTTGTGGGGTTTGTGCACATGTTTCTCCTGTCACTAGCCAATTTGTCATATGTCTGGGTTAACTCGGAGTCACGCACGCTAAAAAGCAATTAGCATGGTGAGTTTTTAAACATGAGTCTGTAGCATCTGTACGTAAACACTGTCTCTGCAATTGTCAAAGTTGGCTGACAAGCTATGGACGCCTCTGTAAATGCCAAAAATAAGACTCACAGAACTCATGCGAATGAGTAAATGTCTGTGAATGCCTTCCCTGTGGGTGAATGAAGTCTGCAGGGAACCTAGAAAGCTCTCTCCCAGGGGATGAGAGTTCCAAAGTCCAATTTGGAAGAGAGAGCGGGGGTTCTGCACCGTTCAGTGGCTCCTGACCTCCAGGGACAGCTCTGTCCTTGGTCAGAAAGCACCCAGTGTCCAGGAGTGCCGAGTGTACATGAAACAGCCACCTGAGTTTCTGAGTCTAAAGAAAATGCCCATTGTTGACAGAGCTCCGGAGTCCCGAGAATTAATCTGCCAAGTGCCAGTGAAGGAACAGGCAAGATACTAGTCCCAGTAAGACAGTCCTGCTAGCCACCTACACCCTTCCAGCACGCTTCACAGCAGTAGGGCCCTGAGAGCTGCCCATCCTGTCACTAATGGAGAAACATCTAGACCACTGCACAGGGCCAAGTGAGGCTCAGCTAAGTCACTGCCTCTAGACCTAGAGTTGGCCAAAGGAAATGTCCTTTTTAGTCAGAACATTCTAGAAGATGACAACCCAATGTTCAGGTAAAAGCACCTCCTCGTGGGGTTCTCTTCCCACCTAAAACCTGTACGATTCAAAACCCACCAGGAACATTCAGGGGGCCGGGTCAGGGGTCACTACACCAAAGCTTCTTACGCCGCTGCCTGATAAGGCGTCAGCCTGGTTTTCACCCGATTGTTTAGGTCCTTGAAAAATCACTTCCTAGTTAACCAGGCTGACCTTAGCTTGCCTTAAAAGGACCCCCCCTAAGGAGATCAGAACCAGGACAACAGCAAAATACACAACAATCCTACAAAAGAACAACAGAACTGTAACCAGGTTATTCTAGCCTCTAAAAAGGGCCCTTCTAATAAACCTTTAATAAACATCACTCCCTAGATAGATATTGCTACTAAGTCCCCTGGAGGTTTTATTTCTATTTATTTGCAAAATCCAATCAGAAATTCCATTGATTTTAAATTCAAACTATCTCTCCCTGTCCTTGAGCACTGTCTTTTATCAAAACCTTGACAACTGTAACTTCTCCCCTAGCTGTGGGGCTGATTCTCTGTCTCTCTCTAAATTCCATTGAGATGTGAGGTGTGTGTGTGTGTGTGTGTTCGGGGTGGGGGGTGTTGTGGTTTGGGGTTGTTTTGTTCTTGAGGATTCCTCTGTTTTACAGGCTCAGGTAGACTGACGTTAAGGTCCCTCCTGTCATGTTTGGTAGCCTGCTCATGTTCAGGTTCCATTCCCTGAGTCACACTTTTCCGGCGTGTTGTGTTTTCATCCTGTGAATAGTCACCTCCAGCTGGCGACTCCAGGGAGCACCTTGTGACCTACTGTCTTGGGCTATGTACCTACGGTGCACCCAAACACGAATCGAGCCACAGTTTGCTGCTAGCTTTGGCAAAGCTGGATCGTGTGTCAGACAAAGCGGGCTAGAGTCAGGGAACAAGAGCAGAGCCTGTGGTGAGGCAAGTGAGAGCTGGCGGCCAGGGAGCATGCGTGCAAGGCACAGCTCAGCCCCTCTCCAGATGGGGGGCAGTCCTACCTCCTCTACAGTTAGAAGCATCTCCAACCAACAGGATATGCTCTGTCTGTGTGCCCTTATGTCAAATCACCTGGCCTCTTTGGGGTCTGTTTTGTTTCCTCTTGCAGACAATGAGGGCACTGTTTCCATCATTCCTTTCAGCTCTGATGTCCTATGCATCTACGCATCTACGAACTACCACCTTCTTCCTTAATCGAGAAATGACTACAAAGGGCTGGCTGTTTCAGAGAACAAAACCCAAAAGGCTTAGGTGTGCGCAGAGAGACGGCTTCTGTTGTGTCCCACTCTCACCCTTCACAGGCCCCAGCTCACACTCGCGTGGCCTACAGACCTCCATCTGCTTGACGAGTCGGCTTCGGTCATCTTTGAGGTGACTCTTGGCCTCCAGCTCGTACTCCAGGTCCTTCAGCGTCTGCTCCAGAAGCTGCCTTTTTGTAAGTGCTTCATCCTGAGCTCTCTGGTGGTCCCGTAACTCTTCCTCCATCAGGCGCATCTAGAAGGAGGAGTGGGTGGTTATCCGGGCTGCATCAGGAGCCCCTGGACAGCATCGGGACAGACAGCGCAGAGGCTGACCCCAGCGGTGACCAAGGGATGCCCACGTACTGGAGACCAGAAGAGCCTGCGAAAGTTCCAACTCCCTTGGGGTCTCACTTTCCTCTTCCAGCTATAAGTAGTAACCCATTGGGTTTTAAATTCAATTTAGTAGATGTTGGTTAGCATCTTGAAATTAAATAGAACAGAAAATATCAGAGTAGAGCAGTACAAGAAGATACTGTTTTGTGAAACCTTTGTACCACATATTCATATATCTGTACAGATATATGTATTACTGGGTTGCAATGCAAGATGTATTTCTTACCATATAGGTTATGACCAAAAACACTTGAAACTCACTGAACTAGGTAAGTGCTTCCTAGAGTGCAATTTATTACCCACCTGTACCAGCGTCATTTCAATGGAAGATCAAAATCAGGGGAAAATAAAAATTGAACTAATGACCCCAAAACAACCTACAGGCACAAAATCTAATAATACAAATGTGCGATATTAGGTGAAAAACTCTGCCCTCTAGAAGAAAATCCTGTATCAGCTGTCATGTTTTACAGTGTTTTTTTTTTTTTTTATCCACAAGGTGGCACTGAACTAAAGGCTTTGAAGAAAGTGCTACAAAGAGATTGATACACAAGGGGTTGTCCATATTTTCTACTTCTCTGGAAACTCCCTGAGGGAACCAGCCACCTCAGCACACAGTAGGTGTTCCTTACCCATCTGTGTGGATTGAGACAGTGAAGACCAACACTATCTGTTTTGTTTCCAACTCCCTTCTCCCTTGGAGCTGGGGTGAAAGCAGTCTTAGGAATAACTACACCAGGGGTTTATTTCCTTCAGAGAGTATATGACAGCGAGTGAAGAACTCCATTAAAGCACAGTATCCTTTGGGGCCGCCTGGGTGGCTCAGCCAGTTAAGTATCCGACTTCAGCTCAGGTCATGACCTCACAGCCTGTGAGTTTGAGCCCCGTATCAGGCTCTGTGCTGACAGCTCAGAGCCCAGAGCCTGCTTCAGATTCTGTGTCTCCTTCTCTCTCTGGTCCTCCCTGGCTTGCGTTCTCCCTCCCTCCCTCTCTCTCTCAAAAATAAACTTTAAGAAAAAAATTTAATTATATATATTAAAAAAAAAAAAAAAAAAAAAGAACAGCATCCTTCGGGGTTGATTTTCACAAAGAGTTGGGGAAGGCTCAAAGATGGTCTTCAGGGTGGCCCAAGAGGGTAGGCTAGTTTCGGAAGCCCATTGGAAAGACTTTAGGAAATGGCTTTCTCTCATGGAGGCTGATAGGAACACGGACTTTTCTGTAAGAACAGTATAGCCTTGAGGAAGATCTCTCCAGATAAGGGCACTCATCTGGCTTGGTGGTAACTGAGCCAGACAAAGCACAAGGGTAGAATCATCCCAAGAAAAAACAATGATGGAACATTGTTTGGATACTATACTCAAGAGCATTAAAAAAAAAAGTCTCTCTAGGTACACCTGGGTGTCTCAGTCAGTTAAAGGTCTGACTTCGGCTCAGGTTATGATTTCATGGTCTGTGGGTTCGAACCCCACATCAGGTTCTGTGACAGCTCAGAGCCTGGTGCCTGCTTCAGATTCTCTCTCCCTCTCTGTCTCTCCCCTCTCCTGCTTGCACGCACACTCTTGCTCTCTCTCTTTCTTGCTTTCTCTCAAAAATAAACATTAAAAAGTTTTTTTAATCTCTCCAAAATAAAGCCTTAATTAAAAAAAAAACCTCTGTGACTCCGTTTCCTGATTTATAATATGGGACAATCATAAAACCTACCTTAAAGAGCTAACATGAGAATCCAATGAGATAATACCCAAAAAGAGGTTTGAGTCAGAGAGACTGACAGATAAATGTACAGCCCACACTCCCTTCTTGATACCCTTCCCAATGTCCAGCACATCCCTTCACCCCACTGCCCAGCACACCTCACCTTCTAATGCCCAGTATGTCCCCATGACAACTGGTCAGGGCTCTGTCAAACTAAGAGCACGCAGTAAAGATATGCACCAGAGAATACATATAGTGTCTGGAATCTCAAGTAATCTCTCTGGACCTCAGTTTCCTCATCTAACTAGATCTCTAAAGTTCCTTCCAATCAGAAGATTCTAGCAGAATGATAACCATTACAGAGAGCAACAGGAAACACTTTGCAGGGGTCACCGTGACACTGATTTTTCTGAAATGAAAACAGCACATGATGTGTTTGTTGGTGTTTTGGCAAGCAATCCGAATCTCCCCTCCCATCTGCTGTAGAAATGCAAATGACTTTTTTTTAATGCCAAAGAGAACTGTGATGTCACTATGCTAATTTCAATGATCTGTTGAGTCCTGAGTCCTGTATCATATGACACTGAAGCAGGGAGAACCTGTTATCAGGGTCCTTCCAGAAGTGTTCTAGAAGTCTGTAATAAATATCCATTGTTTGGGGCGCCTGGGTGACTCAGTCGGTTAAGTGTCCGACTTCGACTCTGGTCATGATCTTACGGTTCATGGGTTCAAGTCCTGCGTCGGGCTCTGTGCTGACAGCCAGCTCAGAGCATGGAGCCTTTGGATTCTGTGACTCCCTTTCTCTCTGACCCTCCCCTGCTCATGCTGTCTCTCTCTCTCCCTCAAAAATAAATAAAACATTTTTTTAAATTATAAATAAACAAACAAACATTGTTCTCTCACACAGCTATAGCACTGGCTCATGGGTAAACTCTTTGATCATCAAAGACATTAAAATTTGCTTTTTAAAGAAAAGCTTGTTTTTCTGTGGAATCTCGGCACTCTTGGCACTGCTTGTGAAAAAAAGCAAATCTCAGAATTAAAAAAAACCTTAACATCAGTGTCCAGGACATCCAAAGTCTGTGCTCTATAGTCTCACATGTTCTCTAATTTTGTTACAAAATGATCATTGTTTTGTATACTTTTAAAGAGAAAAAGGAGATGCTCAGAAAATTGGGGTAACTTGCTCAAGGTCACCCAGCTGGCAAGAGACACCACGAGAAATCAGCAGACGCTGTACTTGTATTTTAGAGCCTTCAGCTTTCCATTAAAATAATCAAAAACATTCCCTTTATTTTTCTCAGTTCTTTATGAGTCAAGACTGAAGGGGGCTAACATTTGAGTTACTTTATTTTTCCTAAGTATAAAACTAAAAATGTTTTAATAATTTCAGTACTCATAAATTCCTAAGGATTTCTTTTTGTCTCCACCCATTATTGTTGCTCTGAAGCTCTTGTCCACCACAACCACTCTAATAAAAGTCCATATTTTCTAAATGAATGGCAAAAAACTGTTTACTATAATCATTGTTCTAGGATTAAATTAAAATATTAATACACAGGAATCATTTGGGCACAGCTGGGTACACCACTTGCGCTCATACATGGCAGCTAAATATCTGAGGCAGAAAATCTTGAATTAACCAAGAAAATGGCCACATTAAAGTTATGCCAGAGACCCTGGGACTTGGTGTCTTAGAATGCCATTTGCCCTATGTAACTATCCTAACGGTTAACATCAACAATCAAGCACAAATGCGGTCTTAGAATGGATCCCAAGTCTCTCCTAGAAGGGCTTGAAAGCAGTCTCCAAGGACAGTTTGGAGAAGGGGTAAACCAGGAGCTGACCCGGCCAGGCATTACCTCATCCTGCAGCCTCATGGCAGTCAGGCGTGACTTTTCAGCCTCTAGGGTTTTCTCCTTCAACTGCCTTTGCATCTCTGCAAGCTCCCTGCGATTTTTCTCCTTGTATTCATCCAGCTGGTTCTGGAGCTCCAGGGTTGATATGCGGGACACCTCGACAATGTCAGCCATCTGCAAGGGGTGACGTGGATGTGAGCCCACCCAGTGATGCCCCATCTGGGGCCAGAGAGCTAGGTCGGGTCCCATCTAAACACAGAACACACATCTCCTCTTCTTTCTTTGACAACCTCCCCAAAGACTGTGCAAAGCACCTGGTCGCAGGCTGTCCAGGCTCAGTCCCTCTAACTTGGACGCAGCACAGAGGGGTGAACCAGCACACCTTTTGCAGCTCGATATACAGACCTTGGTCATGTCCTTACTTTGCCGCGTACCAGCTACATAACTGGGACATGTACTTAAACCTCCCTGGGCCTTTGTGGCGTCCTCGTTGGAAACACCAGAATCATAATATCTACCCTGCAGGGTTGCTGTCAGAATTAAAACAATACACACAGAATTCTAGCTACACAATAGCTAGTAAAGTGACTGGTACATAGCAGGTATCAGGAAATGACAGGCACTCCTGGTGGCTCCTAGAACGTGCAGAGCCAGTCAGCTTGCGCCTTTCTCCTTCTGGGTATTTTAGGGGAAAGATGAGCTGAGAAGAGAAGTATCTAGTACTGGCCTTTGAAACTGTCTTTCATGTTCCTGGCCAAGAAAGATGGATGCAGACACAGAGATTCTGACTCAGGCAACACCTGTGAGGTCTGCACTTACATGCCAGGTTCCTTTGGGTAATTATTGAGAGGAGGTGGGCCCAGATTCCAGAGGGTACTGGCATTTTCTAGACCAGCTTCCCTTTAACTGGGATTCTCAACAAGGCCAAAGAGCTGCTTCAGTGAATCTAGGAATCTGACACATTTGTGCTTAGACTAAGTACAGGTTTCCTTAGCTCTCACGAGGCCTCCAAGGGTACTGGGTCCCAACGGGTGTCCTGTCTACACCTTCCCCCCCTCCCCCCCCAGCTCCTCACCTCCTTTTGCAGTTTCTCAATGGTCTTGTCCAGGTGCCATCGCTCATTCTCCATCTCGTTCTTGAGTCTCCTTAACTGCTCCTTCTGCTCTGTCTCATCTTTAAGCTTCTCAGACAACTGCTTCTGCTCCTGGGTGGCCCGGGTCAGATTTCTCTGCAGACGGCAGGGAGAGGAGAGGGCTGTCACCTACCCACCAGGTCAGCCACAGGGACAGGTGGCAGAAGGGATTCTGCAGCCACACCACAGAGCAATCAGACCTGCTACATCAGTGATAAGGAAAAGGGTCAAAATAAAGCCATCACAAGACACGAGAACGTTGTTGGTTATGAAATTCGGGGACCCAAATGTGAAGCTGACTTAGCCAAAAACACACATGAGAATGAAAGGACAGACAAAGGGTTTCTTACAGAAATACAGAAAACGGCCACCACTGCTGCGGGTAGCAAATAAGGACAGTGTGTGAAAACACAGTATTTTCAACTTCATGCTTGAAAAGTGAGGTAAAGATACACATCCGACACACCTGGACCAAGGTGGCAACTTACATCCTGTGCTATACAGCATTACACTTCGTGTTCTAGAATTTGCTCTGCAAATGACTCTTACAGTTAAAATAGGTAAAAATGAATCTATGAGGAAAGAGAACGTTGTCCCATAGATCACGAGTCCATGTGCAGAGAGTTATAAACAGAATCGTGGGTCAGACTCCTACAGAGAAGAAAAGGGAATCTGACAATCCACAGATGGATAAACTTGATGAGCAGAACGTGTTCAATGGGAAAGGCACTACTTAGAAAAGTGCAGTGTTATTTAGTGATTCAGCACCAAATCCTGCTACATACCATCAAATGAAACTATTCTGAGTGCGCTGTTTGCCCTGGGATCCCCTGAAGCTCTCACCTCACCCAGTCGCATAGTCTAACATTCTTTATGTAAGAACATGCAATTCTAAAACAAAATCCTAAAATATCTTAGAAAGGTAGCTGAGTATTAAGGCCACTAGTGTAAAGATAGCGAGAAGGCACACAGCTCAGAAGGGGGCAGCATGACCCAGAGGTGGGCTGGATCATCTGGAAAATGTTATCGGGTTCTGAGAGCTGCATGTGGGTTAAATACTGCTCAGGACCTGTGTCTTGTGTCCATGTGGACGCTGTGTAAGAACAACAGTTTATATTTGCACAGTGCTTAACAGTTTACAAGCTGCTGTCACATGCACCAACTCAGGCATCTTGAAAACACTCCCAAATCACTTCGGGCACTCCTAGTTTGCAAAGCATAGCCAACCGTGCTGCTGGCCAACCCTGTGACTTGGGGCCAAAAAGCCACCCATGGAGGCTTTCTGGCCCCTCCACTCTGCCAGGTTAACTGCGCCTAGAGAACCAGCCAACACAGCTGGCTGCTGAAGTTAATTGCTGCGGGAAACCAAGGTCAACAAAAGCTGCTGGGAGAAAAGAAGGTGGTAAAAGGAAGGTAATCAGAGGTTCAGTGTGGGGGCAATTAGCAGGAGTGTGTCCCACCACAGGCCCGCTGGGCACATAACAGAAACAGGGTCACCTCCTGGGATTTGGTTTTGTGGGTGATTTAGTGGTGTTGGGGGCAAAGAGGAGCACACAGGGCAAGGCGAGTGAGGTACATGTGACTCTCAATAGTGTCAGCTCCTGAAAAACCACCAATACAGAGGGACATCAGTGGCTTTCTGTAGGCTCCAACTCAACCCGTGCCTCTCCAGACCCCCCAGCCTCTCTTTTCGAACTCCTGGATCCCAATTCTGGAGGCTCCATGCCAGCAGACAAGCCAGCCTTGGCCCCCTCTAACCTCCATACAGTGTATGCATCTCTCTTTCAGCCGTGGCTCAGGCAGGGCTCCCTGCCTGACCCTGATCGCCCATGCCTCTGGAGACACCAGACTCACCCACTCTGGGCCCGGGGCCCTGCCCAAATCCTGCACTCCCCACTACAACACACACACATTCGCCTGGAAGAAGAGTTTTGCCAAATTATTTAAAAAATATTTCTTGTAGTTTGCCTCTATTGCAAGGTAGTGAGATCTGTCAAGGCAAGCAATAGATTGTCTGCCTGGGTATGTCTCAGAGCCCATATTCACGATTAGGCATAAGATAAAATCTTAGTGGTTAAAAATTAATACCTATTCCCAAAAGTGGTCTAAAGGCATCTTACATCAGAATCACCAAGTAAGGGTAGAGTATTCTTTACCTTAAATGCAGATTCTAGCTCCATGGGTTGGATTCACAATTTTCCTTAGACTGGGACCCACAAATTTAGATTTAAAAGTTACCCAGATAATCCTAACATACTTTAACGTTTAGAAATGCTGTTTACAACAATGTTCTGCCTCCTCAGTTCTTCAAGAAATGTATTCCAACAAACCACTGCTGAGAAAACATGTTCAGATTTCACATGAAAAGAAGCAAACTTCCCAATATGCAGTGGGAGTTAGGAGTGAAATGTTGCTACAGTGACTGTATTTCCAAGACCAGCAATGCAAGCCCATCAACTAATACAGGGACCAAAATCGGGGAAAAAATGATCAGTTAGGAGAATCCAAAGCACCAAATTAGTGAAGACCAGTATCTATCTCTCAATGGATGCAGAGCCTTTTCCTATATGACTGAGTAAGGTCCCTGTTCTTATATGACTGAGTAAGGTCCCTGTCCATATGAACAATAAGCAAGTGCAGGTGAGCCTATGGGCTTACAGGAATGACAGCCTTGATCAGACGGAAGCTGGGGTGACAGCCCCCGAGTTATGGCCCACTTGAGTGAATCCTAATACAAGCACGTTCCTCTCTGCCGCTGAGGAGGGGAAAGCTATACATGGAAAGGTAAGTCACAATGAAGCATTTGCAAATCTGAACTCTTGAAAACACTTCTCGGGACTGTTTTCAGGGTGCCTGAGTTACTGCATGGGAGAGCAGCTTATAAACTGTAAGCCTTGTACAAATATAAACCATTGTCCTCACACCACCTATGTGGGGACAGAAGACCAGGTAGGCTGTAAGCGGTTACCTTACTGCACATTAACCAGGGACTGGAATGGCGGAAGCACTGAGGCTTTTTCCCTGTCATCTTGATGCACAGAAGTCCAGCAGGGTGGGAGGTGAAGGCATATAGGATATATACCATGATCCAGCCCCCTAAGGAAAGAACTGTGGCTTCTCCAGAAAAGGTCTCTTCACTTCCCCACCTGCAGAAGCCATTTCTCAAGGGAATCCTAGACAGCACTGCTGTGCAGTTCCCATAGACCTACACAGCAGCACATCCCACCCCAGCGGGAGGGGCCGAGTTGACGGGCAATGGCATCGTTACCACCCACTGCCACTTTCTGACTCTTAATAAAATCAGACCTAAGTTCACACAGCCTTCAGCCACCATGTAAAGAAATACATTTCTCAGTCATGAAGATGCCACAGATTGCTAAAGGCAGAAAGACTGAAATATAAAATGCTGTGTGTGGGGGAAACCCAGTTACTCTTTCCTCTCCCTCTAAGGGCTGAGCTCCCTTTCCGTTGCCAGCTTAGGGAAGAGAGGCATGCAGAAAGTTATTTAACCGCAGGAGCTGGCTGTCCGGTTCCTGGTTGTAGAGAAAACAAAGCGATGGCGCACTTTGCATTGCACTACTGCTAACTGAGATAACCGAGGTGAGACTGTTGGACTTTCTGAGCACGTGCTGGCGGTGTTGCCAGCGGTCAGCATGGCCACGACCCGCACCTGCTGTTCCCACCATTCCAACACCACAGAGAATCAGGCCACGACAAAACCAACACGTCAGGGAGGATTTCCAAGGCGAGGCCAGAGATCTGGAGATGGGTGTGGGTGGGGATTACAAGAAGATGATTAGGCCCTGAGGCTATCATCTGCTCTCTCTGAGGAATTAACCCAGAGCTGCAGATTCATAGCTGTCAAATTTTATGGACTGACCAAAAGATGATAAAGACGGATCCTGTAATAGCTGCGCCCAGCACTAAGGGTGGATGTGACACGAAGGTACAGATTTTTGTCCCTGTAGAGAAGACACACTTTTCCTCTCTTCCCGTCCCCAGCCAGCTCACAAATTCGAACCCTGCACTTCAGCGACGGGCGTGAAGTCAGCACAAGCCTTAAAGAGCAGCACGGTGAACCCGCATTCCACGCAAAATTAACCTCACAAGAGTTTGTAACAAAGATCTACACTGAAAGAAAGAAGGCCACAGTAAGGACAGTCAGACGCTTCACTGTTTGCAAAAACAAGGTCCGTGCAAGGCTGGAGAGAAGGCATTAACAGTGATCGAGGGGTGCCAGGCCCCGAGTTAAAGCTGACCTGAGTGAATCCTAGTATGAGCACTTTCCTCACTGGCCCTGAGGCGGGGGCGCTGTATCTGAAATGCACAGCTGCAGTGAGGCATTAGGCAGACTGATAAATCCGGACCCTGACTGCTTTGTCACTCTTCATACGTCCCTTCCCCACCTACCCTCATTGTCAAGTGGGTCCTGATGGAAATGTTAACAATCTCCTCCTTGACAACTGCTCAAAATCACTGGCTTTTGCATCCTCAGAAACTGCCTGAGGAACGCTCAGTGCCAGTTCGTTAAAACCCAGGAGCAGGTAGAAGAAAGGACGCATCTGGGTCACACAGAGGTCGCTGCGCAAAGTCATCTCAGAACTTTAGTGCAGGCTTTGGTTTGTTTGTTTTTAGAATGTACTTCCAACAATCTTTCTAACCTTCAAATGGGGAAACCTAATTTTCTAAGAATCTAGTGATTTTGAATACAGATAGCTATCTCATTTCAAAAAAACGGACTTCCTGCTGCTCCTTTTAATAGCTGCCCTGAAGGACTGTACTCTATGGAGTCTATTTGCCCAAAGGAGAAAGGAAATTGACTTCTGCCAGAAAGCCGTCTCCACACTGCCTTGGGGACCAAAGCTGGTGGCCTTCTCACACAATTCATATTTTATCTTTGGAAAGCTGTCAAGCTCTTTAATGTCTACACCAGGGTTTCTCAACCTCAGCCAGGTAATTCGTGGTGTTGGGGGCTGCCCTGTGCTTTGCAAGGGTGTTAGGTAGCATCCCTGGCCTCTATCCACTCGAGGCCAGTAGCATCTCCCAACTGTGACAACCAAAAATGTCACCAGACATTGCCAGGTGTCCCCTAGACATCATTGCCACTGGCCTAGATGGCTAGTGTGAAGTCCAGTGTGGGTATTACTGCAAACGGCACTCCCAGCAAGGAAAGGACCAATGGCGGTCTGGACATGTCTCTCCAATTATGCTTCTCAGGCTTCCTGTACGAGGAATAGACATCAGCTCTGTGATTACCTGAGCGTCTTCCAACTCATTCTCAAGGGTCCTTCTGGCTGATGTGGCTTCTCTTTCTTCCTTTCTTGCATGCACAAGGGCCTCTTCTAATTGCTGGGCTTCTCTCTACAATGAAATACAGGGTGAATGTGCATTCAGATGCGTGCTATGCCTATAAAGGTGACTCAGTGGCATGGAGGGAACACAGGAGACATCTGAGGACACAGCCAGCAGTGGCTGTGGTCACAACGTGCCAGGCACAGGCCCACAGTGGCTCACAACACTGAGGTTCTTAGGTGTGTGTGCCCTTCTGTGGTTCCCTACTTAGCCAGATGTGAAATCCGAATCGCCTGAAATTACAAATATCTGGCCTCATCTGTGGAGCTTCAGAAACAGCAAGTACTGAATGGACTTAGGCACAAAGAGTTTTGGAAAAGGCTTCCAGATGATCCTGACAAATGACCATTTTGGGAGCCCCTGTTAGAATAAGTCTCCCTTTACATTTATTTTGTCCTCTCTCTTAGTTTTTTTTAGGTTCATTTATTTACTCTGAGAGAGGGAGAGAGAGAGTGAGCAGGGGCACAGAGAGAGAAGGAAGAGAGATAATCCCAAGCAGGCTCTGTACTGTCAGCACTGAGCCTGACATGGGGCTCGAACTCATGAACCATGAGATCATGACCTGATCTGAAACCAAGAGCCAGACACTTAACTGACTGAGCCACCCAGGTGCCCCTGTCCTCTCTTTTATTTTCAGTGCCAGCTCTCACTGCCCTCAGGACGTGTCTCTTGCCAAAAGCCTCCCGCTTCTAGACATCCGACAAACCAGATCATTGGTTTGCTAAAACCTGTGTGATTCAAAATCCGTCAACTAGGTGTTAAAAAAGAAAACAGTCATGAGTGAATGGATCTGATGGTGGTATTAAGACGGCCTTTTCAGACATTTAGAAGCCTCTGTTCAGTGTCAAAAGGTTGAGTGTACCTGATGTCTGGGTGAGTGGGGACCCTGACTTCATCAGCCCTGATCCTGGTCTTCTTTCAGAAGCTCATCTTCCATTTTTACCACCCACAGAAGAACAAGAGAAACAGCTTGCAGAGAGGACATATGCACGATTGCCTCCACATTTCCTGCTAAATTATGCTAATAAATCCCCTTGCACCTCCAAAACCACTGACACAGGAGAAAAGAAGGGTCCGCAGCTGTCAAACCCAGGCTTGGGGCCCAGCAAGCCTCACCTCACACTTCTTGAGCATTTCCTTTGCTTTGGCCTCGTCGCACTTCAGGTCGGCAATCTGCCTCTCAAGCCGAGCGATGCTCTGCTCCAGCTCTTCCACACGTCTCCGCAGCTTCTCATTCTCCTCCTGCAGGGCCTTCACGTGCATTTCAGCCCCCAGCTGGCTAGGCTCTGAAGTGTTGCTCCGACTGGCCAGGACCTCGACATTCTGTTAAAAACATGGAGTGGGTGAGCATGGGACCCGCTGTCAAGGGGCAGGTCCACCTCAGCTTTGAGCAGGGATGACATTTATTAAAAGCCCTCTGTGTGCCAGGCACCATGCTAAGCCGGGGATCGGCATGCTACAGCCTGGAGGCCAAGTCCAGCACACCACCTGTTATTAAAAATAAAGTGTTACTGGAGCATCGCCACGCCCCCTGGTGAGCACACGGTCTACGGCAGCTTTCACGCTACAACAGCAGAACGAGTGGCAAATGCCTGAAAGAAACGTGTGGGATGCTGCAAACCTAGAATATTTACCACCTAGCACTTCACAGAAAAATGATGTCAACCCTCGCCTGTATTAAGTCTTTGACATGGGATTTCAAGCTTTTAATGGCTCTAGGAGGTGGGTACTACTCTTATCACTGTTTTACAGACAAAGAAATTGAGACTTGGGTAGATAAGGAACTCCCAAGTTCACTTAAGAGGAAGTGCACTGGGGCAGACTGAATCCAGAACCCGTTCTAGTTATCACTGCCTTCTGCTGAGTTCATGTCCCTGATCTCTCACCACGTGCAGGGCCCCTTAACAGGAGTTCTGGATGAAGGACAGTTTCTGTTTATAGATTTTTTTTTTAATGTCCAATACAAAATGGAAATTAAAATTCACTTAAATTATGATACAGCTCCTTAGTGCAAGCTCTAGGCGCTATCTTCTGAAAATGAGCTAGTGCTGCACAAAATTCATAACAGAAAGGCCTAGTGACAATTACAGTGTGGTTATTGTTAATTCCAGATGTCGCATGGGCTTTTTCTTTTTTTTAGCTCAGCAACACAATGTGATGATAAGTGGCCTTGTCCAGAATTCCACTTCTCCCAGAAGATCTTTCGCCTTCCATTTCTCCACTACTACAAAGATGCCAATGTCAGCAAATCTGATGCTCACAACACGGCACTGCAGATGCCTGCAAGGAAGGAAGGCCCAGGGAGGGCAAGCTCTGGCTTCGAAGGCTATGTCATGGCCCACTTGGGAGAACTATCTGCTAGAATTGCTTGCTCGCTTACGTAGCTTTACAGAAAGATCTTTAAATCTTCTAACAGTACAGTAAGCTGTATTACCCTGCACTTGACCAATTAGAGAGTTTCAGAAACTAGAGCATCTTTTCACATCCCAAATGTTTCATTCTATACATCTGGGGAAGTCCATCACAGCCAAGCTACTGAGTCAGAACAGTATTTGCTGGCATTGCTAGGGAGAGCAGTAAAGTGCCCAACAGCTGGGACATCTCAGGACTATGTGGGTATCCTCTCCTACTGAAACCAGCAAGATGAAGGAGGAGAAATAAAGTGTGGTTGAAAGCCTGAGGAAGGAGCCAAAGAATCCAGTAACTGGCCAGATGGGGAAGGAGAAAGAAAAGTCTAGATTGCCCATTCCTGCCCTAACTTTGTAAAGCAACAGTTATCAAGACAGTGTGGCACTAGCATAAGGATACACATACAATGCAATGCAAATAGAATTGAGAGCCCCAAAATAAACCCAAAATAAATACAGTCAACTGATTTTCAACCAGGGCATCAAGAAAACTCAATGGGCAAAGAATAGTCTCCAACAAAGGGTGCTGGGAGAAATGGATACTCACGTGCAAAGAGATGAATTCACACCCCTTCCTTACATAATACATACAAATAAACTCAAAACGGATCACAGGCCTAAATATAAGATTTAAAACTATAACATTCTTAAAAGAAAATGGGAGTAATAAATATTTGTTACCTTGGTAAGGCAGAGTCTTAGATGCAACATGAAAAGCACAAGTAACAACAACAAAAATAGGTAAACTGGACTTCATCAAAATTAAACACTTTTGTGTGGCCAATGATAACATCAAGAAAGTGAAAAGACAACTCACAGAATGAAAGAATATATCTGATAAGGGACCCATATCTAGAATATACAAAAAATTTTCAACTCCATTACAAAAACATATATAACCCAATTTAAAAATGGGCTAAGGATCTGAGTGGACCTCCTTCCAAAGAAGGTCTACAAAAGTCCTATAAGCACATAAAAAGATGCTCAACATCATTAGTTATCAGGAAAATGCAAACCAAAACCACAACAAGGTGCCACTTCACTCTCACTAGGATGGCTATAATCAGAAAGACAGAAGATTGCCCCTGTGGGGGAGGCTGCAGAGAAACTGGAACCCTTACACATTGCTGGTGGGAGTGTGAAATGGTGGAGCCACTTTGGAAAACAGTCTGGAAGTTCCCCAAAATGTTAAACAGAGTTATATGACCAAGCAATTCCACACTTAAGTATATACCTAAGGGAAATAAAAACCTATGGCCACACAAAAACTTGCACAAAACCTCATAGCAGCATTATTTTGATAGCCAAAGAGTGGAAACAACCCAACTGTCCATCAACTGATGAATGGGCAAACAAAATTGGGTGTATCCATACCATAGGTTGTTTGGCTCCAAAACGGAATGAAGTACTGAGTCATGCTACAACATGGATGAGCCTTGACAACATTTTACTAAATGAAAGTCACAAAAGCCCACAAGCTGACATTTATAGAAAATACCCAGACTAAGGCAAATCTAGAGACAGAAAGTACATCGGTGGTTGACTGGGGCTGAGGGTGATGAAAATGTCCCCTAAAACTGACAGTCGTGTTGGTTGTAAAACTGAGAAACATACTAAAAACTACTGGATTGTGCACTTTAAACAGGTGAATCCTATGTCATACAAATTATATCTCAAAACAGCCAATTCAAAGAAGAGGAACAAAGGACAAAGACAAAGGAAACATGGATGCAGAGTTGGGATGCAGGGGAGAGATGAGAGGTTTACCTCAGAGGTCTGAGGTTAGCCGAGGCACCAGGGAGAGGAAAGAGCAGGCTAGAGACACCTGTCTAAATCTGATAAAGCGAGGAACACACATGTGCAGTCAACACTCCGTTGTTCACCCAGAAATTTCACAAAAAACAAGACCACTGAAAACCAGATTTTGTTTAACCTGAATTCAGGCCTAACTGGCACCCTAACCAGCTAGATAAAAGGCCCCCGTTGTGCTGTGATGTTTAGGACTTGAGATTTTCTCCCTTTGCAAGCTGTGAAAGCACATCCTGAGTCCTGAGAAGTGACATGCAGGGAGGACTGGCCAGGCAAGTTAACCACTCGGTTTGTGGCTGGCAGGTGTCTGCTCCAGTCCTAGCTTTCAGTAGCACAAGCTCAGTGGGACTCCAGGAAGCCTGACTGGGTGGAGACGCTTAGTCCTGTTTTGACTATCTGTAAAGCGATAGTATGTTTTCCTCCTGTCTTCATAGTGTGGTAGACCCCGGTATGTTTACAAATAAATTTACCAAGCCTCTGTTGGCAAACCTTTCCAGAACTTCTCCCTGTGCCTGACCACACACACACACACACCCAGTCCCCTATTTTATATCAAGCCCATATGACCCAAATTTCCTTTTCCTGAAACCATACCTAATTCCCTGCATATCCTTTTGTTCAAGGCAAGTCCTACATGCAAATTCTTCTATGTGACTTCCCAGCGAAGAAAATGAAATTGGTCTAGAGAACCCTCAAAAGCCCCCCTTCCAACTCTGAACTTTGATCGATGCGTCTTTTCTAAAAGCTTAAGTTTATATCTCAGGAACATGGTGAAGGTGGCAGAACTCTATGGTAAGGACCTCCGCAGAAGTCACTGGAGATGAAGCACTGCTGACCTCACTGAAGTTGCTGGGACTCTGCTAGATAAAGGACCTGTGTTGAGTTTTGATGTTTAGGTGATTCTTTGATCTGAAGTCCTGTGTGTCATAACAAGAGTAGAGAGGCTACTGCATCATAAATAAAAGTAAGGAGCACAGTTTCTAACCATTCATTTAGCCGTATCATATCACCTATGTAATACCTACTTTAAAAGAATTGCATAAATTTGCTTTGTAATATTTTAACTACTATTTATTCATGCAAGCAGGCATAAATAGTCAACAAAAACAAAAATTTCACGGCCAATCCAAAAGGTTGGAAACACCATACTAGGTCATCGCCCCTAGGGCAAAAGTAGCAGATGTGCTACATTCTGATGTTTTTCAAGACAGATCCACCCCCTTAAACTTGCACTGAGATCATTTCTTCACCTTTTAGGCAGCCAGGGTCAGAAGGTGGGTGGGTGGCATAAGGGAACAAGATCTCCCCCAACACACACTCAGCTGGGGGGTGGCTGGAACCTGGCATGACCCCCTGGGGGGGGATTTGGTAGTATCAATCAAAATTATAAAGTACATTTTCTGTGGCCCTGCAACTTCTCTTCTAGTTTATTCTACATGTGTGCAAAATAATAATACAAACAATTATTAACTGCAGCATTATACAAGCAAAAGATTGAAATGAACTACGTACCAACTGATGGGGCACTTGTTAAGTAAGTTCTATCGGTTTAGTGATAACCTGAGCAGTTGGAAAAATAGAGTAACAAGAAAGTGAGGAAAATGCAAGGGACAGAACAGTACACATAAGAGCAAAGTTTGTATAAAAGGAAGGTAATGGGAGATAGATACATCATTACCTGGCTACACAAGAAACTGGTAACACTGGCTGGCTATGAGGAAGGGAGGCAGAGTTATGGAAGGACAGTGAGGGAAGTACTCCATTGCAAACCTTCTTCTAACTCTTGAATTCTGGACAATGGAAATTTCAGAGAGATTCAGTTTTTTTAAATAAATACACATTTTCTTTGAAAAGACCATCAACGACCACAGGGGCTTAGTGAACAACCACCTCCCCAGCCCAGTTCTCACCTCCTCCAGCCTCCAGAAACCCTTCCCTAGCACATTCACAGATACTTCTGGGCCATGAGAGATAGCAGAGCCCGGAGCCCGGGGAACAGCTGTATAAACAGAGCATAGCGCCAACGAAATCTCCCACGCGGGTTCACATATTTAAGAAATTCCTTTTCACCACATATAGGTGGGAGAGTGGAAAAGGCCCAGATGG